TCGAAGCACGTACCAGTAGTACGAATGTAGATGACAGCAAATAGCACAGAAACAATAATTAATACGATTTCAGATATTTTAATTTTTTTCGTAATAATAAATTAATAGTAAACGCAGGAAAACTGTTTCAATGTAGTTGTTTTACATTTAAAACGGGTAATCACATACGCCATTGAAAGTGAACTATATGAAAGTAGCTGATGTTAAAGGCCTTAAGACGCACACGGGCTATAAGACGCACATTAGTGTTAGGCGTTTTGTTAAAATAATAAAATTTTCCAATTTATAGCCCGCAGCATGCACCTTTAATTTTTCCATTACGAAACTAGCTACTAACAAAAATATTGTATTATTACCGAAACAACTAATTTATATACAGTAAAAACTGTATGTGACGCATGGGGGAAAAGATCAACTGCGCACGTTTTCTTGAGTTCCAGAATCCCTTCCCGTCGTTTTAACTGTAAATAGTTGAAAGATGAGTAAAAGTTTAAAATAAATAAATAAAAATAAATTTAAAAAAGTGCGAGATTAGCATTATTTGAAAAAAATAAACATTTGTGTTTCGGTGTTATAGAAAACTTATTTGCATCCGTAAACGAATTGCAGATATTTTTCTGACTTGCTAATAAAATAGTAACTCGCACTTACCTCTACTCCTAACATTACAAGAAAAATAAGAGTTCAACAAAACGTGCGCATAGTGAAGCTACATTTACGTCCAAAAGCAAAACAAGGGGCCATCTCAGCATTTGCTCAATGGATCAAGGAAACTGGACAAAAACCGGATAGAGATGGAGGTCATTAACCCGGAAGCTGAAGTACATTATTTGTTACAAACATATTAAGTTTTTAAAAAAAATATACAATACAAATGTAAACTAATTCAGTTGCACTTCAATCACTGTTTTGTTAAAATAAACATTATTTTTCTTTTTGATAATGAGTATAGTCTCTAATTGTATAGAAAGTTATGCAGCAGAAAAGATTTTACTTTTAACTTAAATTTATGAACTGACTTCAATTGTTTATTGTCCTTTAACTGTGCATTGTAAAGTAACGTACATGTATGCAGTGGTGGCTGCGGCAGGGAGGCGCTAGGGACACTGCCCCCCTACTGAGATCAGTATTTCTCCCCTTGCGCTGTCTAAAATAACCCCTGTGGGTCTGCAGGGTTGTTTTCGAATCGAACACATCTTTAGCTTTCAAACTCCCGCTTGTTCCGTAGAACGATTTTCATTGGCTGCGGACACTCGCCTCTGTGTCCTAAACGCAGTGTTGTTACGGAACTTACAGACATAGAAATCGCTGCCAACGAGTGTTGAAATGGCAAAATGGGTTCGGCAAATGGCGTCTTATGACGGCCGCCGCCCAGCCGCCTGACAGGGGAGGTAGCAACGTCGATGCCCGGCGCTATCTATTGATCGAATTTTAAACTTACAATATTCCTTTCGCTTGATTTTCGTCCAGGCCAGTGCTATCTGCTGGTATTCTGTTAACTGATCTCCCTTTTCACAACAATTCAGCGCAGTAGTGTGCAATCGGCATGGTCGGCATCATCTTTCCGATCCGTAGACAAAACTATGTGACTGCTGTATTCCAATCTTTGCGTCCACTTCGTATTGTGCATTGAGATTGAGAATGGTTTCCAATTCTGTAAAATGCTTGAAAACAGTCAATGTCCTTGTGATACAAGGCTGTGCATGAAGACAATTGAGCCACCTCGGCTTGATATAAAAAAAAATTACAATCTGTTAGAAATGGCAATCGTTCTTTTGTACGAAAATTTCAATGGGGTAAATGGCCATCTTAATTTTAGGGGGAATTTAGCCTTGTGTTCTCTCTTTGATTGTAAAACGTTCCAACAATATCAAGAAAATGTCCCCCTACAAAAGGTTGATCGCGTTTCACAGTACTCTCCGTTCGTGAGCTAGCAAACTGAAATCTGAACTGGATGTGCTATATAAAAGAATCCGAGAGAGGTTTTTCGCTTTGAAAAGATTATAGACAATTTTAAGAAATACCATGTCGGAAGAGAGATTGAATGGACTTTGTATGTTTTCATTACAAAGAATTTTGTTACGAGACTCATTTAATTTTGAAGAATTAGTAATAGATTTACAGAATGTAACAACAGAAGACTCAATTTAATTTAAAGATCATGTGTTTAGCCTGTCTTCCGGGGAGATAATTCGATTATAAATATTACTTATGTGACTTAAACAATCCAAATATAACTATTTTTCAAATGTCTAACATTGTTTGATCCTGTAACTTTGTGTGCCCTCCCTGTTGCCTAATCCCAGAGCCGCCACTGCATGTATCTGGATTTCTGATAGTGAGCTGTTGCTACTGACACTTGATGAAAGTGATTTTTACGACGTGTGTTGTACTTATAAATATCAGTATTGCATGAAAATATGTTTCAACCGTTAAGTAAGTCACTTTTGACAAATATTACAGATTCGTAAATATATAGGCAAGGCAGTGGTAAGATTCCAAGCTCAATGAAGAGATGCTTGCAAGGGTAACGCGGATGTCATTCTTTCATTATTCGAATAATCTTTTCTATAGGTATCTATCTATAGAAATAATCTAAAGGTCTGAGTACGTGATGAGTTTCCTCAGAATTTTATACCATATCTCAGGCGGGAATGTATATTGCATGCAAAATACACGCAACAAGCTGCATGAAGGCTGGCAGAATTTGAAAGAATTCTGAATGCGTAACAAATGAACTTACTTTAATGTTTAATATTATTATATGTACATTCCATTTGAGATTTGACTGAATTGAAAGACCAAGAAATTTTTTTACCTGGACATCAGGTAATTGGATATTGTTCATTTTCAATGGAGTATGTTATTGTTGATTTGAAATGCAAAAATGCATTGAAACTGTTTTTCCTTCGTTAACTATTAATTTATTATTACAAAACCAATTTGAAAATTCTGAATTCGTACTATTTATTGTTTCTTTTTTTGCAAAGAATATTTGTGTCATCGGCAAACAGAACCGTTCTTCCGTTTTTAGTAGACGACGGCGTACGTACGACGGCGTACGTACGACGGCGTCGTTTACGTATAACAGAAAGATAATAGGACCTAAGATCGATCCATGCGGGACCCCAAATTCAATTAGTAAAGAATTGGAAAGATAAGTAAATATTGTTCTTTCGTGCCAGTACGGTATTTCAACTCTTTGAGATCGATATTTAAGGTTCGAGATTATCCAATCTAGGGCGATATCACAAATTCAATAAGAAGGTAATTTTGATAGCAAGATGTTATGATCAATAATGTCAAACCCTTTCGAAAGATCTAAAAACATTCCTATGGTGCTTCATTTTGGTCTATTAAAGCAACATTTTTAAGAAAAGAAAAAATGGCAGTTTCCGTAGATTTTGATTTTCTAAACCCCATACTCGTTTCCCCTACCTAGTTTCTCTCTGGTAACACGCACTGATCCACCACCTCTCTATACACGGCCCTTCACTCATAGAGGAGAGATACAATGTATCTCTCTTCTATGCCTTTACTGTACCGAGCCGGCAGCATAGAATAATATATCTCTCCTCTATGGCCGGCAGTCGCCTCGCCCTCTGGGGCCACGCTGGTTTGGTCATCATCTACTTCCCATACCCTTGTGCAGTGACGTACTACCGCCCGCCCGGTTGGTACAATGACTTGTCCCCCGGTCACAAGAGGCCCCAAAAGATTTTTTTTTTTTTTGCCTAACTGAACGCTTTAAAGGCCCCTTCTGAAAGCGATTTGTTTATTACTGTTAATCGACTAGTGTAAATTTTGAAAGTATTTTATTATGAAGACGCGAAGATGTTTTCCAAGTTTGTAATTTGACATCCTATCCAAATTATGTATTGCTTTAAGTTTGGGCAGATCCACAACTGAAGCGTTTGTGTCCTACTAGATGGTCCAGTAGAAATGATTTACTTTTGGCGATTCGGATAAGATATGCTGTTTTGCAAGTTTTATCAAAAATAATATTAACTAGTAAAAGTGCATTTCAGCGTGCAGTTGCGTGCAACTTGAAGAAAAAACAATGGGGAGGTTCGGATTTGTATTCCAAGTTGTATTGCAAACATTTTGGTTGCGGCTAAAATCTGCAAAAATCTTATTTTGATCATTGTCTAGCACGGAATTTGATTGAAGTAGCTCGCAAAGATCTAAAATATTTTAGAGGCGACTTTGTAAAACTCGCGTTTTGCTAGAAACGTGTAAAAGCGAAAAGTCATTTCGATGAACTGTGCGAATATCAACGTTTATCTGATGGCGAAAAACGATTCATAGTTAATGTTTACTTCGCGTGTTTAGATATCATTAGGCAGCTGAGCCATCGATGTATGGCATGAATAAAATAATCTATTCGTTTGCGATCATTCAGCTACAGCTTTGTTAGTTTTCAGACGAAGAACTTTCAAATCATTGCGAAAACATCAACGAGAAATACTAAGACGGTGTAGTACCTGATCAACTGTTCACAGCTAGTATCCTTGCGTTGTTGTCCGAGATATCGCTAGTCGAAGATTCATTCAATCAGGGAGTTGGCTAACTCGGTCCTGTGCGAGTACTTCACTCATTCAGCTAACTTTCCAGATGGCAGCCAGTAATCTTGAGGCTCATTCACAATGCAAACGTAAACATTAGTATATAACGCATAAACATTAACATAAGTGATAGACTGAAGTATTCACAATGTGTGACATAAACGTAATCAAAATAAGGGTTTCTATTGGTTGTGAGACATTCTGGTTTACCATTGGTGAGATGTGACAATCGACGTCAAGAGACAAGATATCGACTGTGACCATGGCACACATGGCGTTAGTTCTATCGACTTCGCTCCAATTTCGATTTTGAGTTATCGTTCTGTGATTGGTTCATTTCTTATGTCTTTCTTAAGCATAAGCACAGAAGCTTGCAAGCTTTTAAGTTAACGTCTTACGTGTTATGCTCATGCGAACGCATTCTGAATGAGTCCGCTTATGGACGTAGTCCTAACTTTTATGTTAACGCCATGCTTATGTTTGTTTGCATTGTGAATGGGCCTTTAGCTGTTTCTAACGATTCCCGTGACGGTTGCAACAGCCGAGCGATCTTTTTCAAAATTATCAAAAATTATCTGCGAAATGAGATGGACAGGAGAGTCTGGCTAATCTCAGCATACTTTCCATAGATAGTAAAGTGAGGAACTCGTTGAAAGCGAACCTGGGTGATGATGTATATATCTTCGTCAAAGTGAAAGTTCGCACGACTCGATTCAGGATTTTGTCCTAGAATATGATTAATAAAGTTTCTTTTAATTAGTTTTCAGTACGTTTTTGTTTTTAATTAGACAACTTTTTTTAGGGAGGGACCCCAATTTTAGTTTTGAACCGGGGCCCTGAAAGGGCTAGTTAAGCCTGTACCCTTGGATCCGAATATCTGGTCCGGGGTTGCTCGCCTGAACCTCAAGACGCCTTGGGCAGCCCGCGCTATTTCCGAGGCCCTGGGGTGCTTGCATTTGGCTCAGGCCTTTATTTTTAATATTATCGGTAAATAAGTGGCTCGAAAAATCCGCAACTCATTAAGTATAGATAGAATTGGTTTATTTAGTCTTCTCCGCTACATCTATATGTATACTCCATGAACTATTTACCAAATTAATTTTCTATTTTATTTTTTTCATATTTTTTCTTTTAATTTTTTTAATTTGTTTACTTTTTTGTTTTTAACGGTAATTTATCAATTAGTTTAATAGTCTACTTTTTGCCTGCACAGTTTTACTGAAAACAATTACTAAACTTTGTGTAAGACCTGTTTCTCGTGTTTTATCTTTCACTCTTTGGATTTGTTTACTGTTAACACATTTGTGTCGGTGCCAACTGTAGGCTTATAAGTTCCCACCCAGCTGGGCGCTTCTTGGTATGACCTATTAATTCCTCGCCGAGGTTGGGCGTTCCATGGTTTTTGCAATGGATTACGGGGGCAAGAATATGAATTTCATGCGTTTCACGCGCAAAAAACATGTATTCTGAATGCAGGCAACGCTTCTTCAGGTGTCAGAAAACGTTGACCTCTCAGTTTGTTTTTTTACGTAGCGGAATAAAAAGAAGTCATTCGGTGACTCATAAAATCGATGTTTTGGATGCTCAAAAATGCAGTTGTTTGAGCCAATGTGTGAGAGCTCGCGTTGTCGTGGTGAAGAGTGATCCGTCTTTGGCGGTTGGTTTTCCTGATTTCTGGAAGACAGCTGGCAAACAAATCGTTGTGTACCACTCAGAATTGACTGTTCTGCGTGGTTCTAGTGGTACGTTACATGTCAGTTTTTCCGAAAAAACAGGACCATCTGCTTGAAGTGCTTCGTGCGCAAGAACTTTTGTGGATTTTGCTCATCATTGAAACACCCATACAGTCGACTGCTGTTTACTTTCGGGCTCATAAGCGTAAATCACGATTCATCACCTGTCACGCATGTCATAGACGTGTTTTCGAGCAACCGATCGTATTTTGAGCATCTTTCCGTTCGACCCAATCGACACGAGCCTTTTTTTGAGCGATTGACAAATTGTGTGGGATCCAACGCGAACAAATGTTTTGACAGTCAAATGTTTATGCAATATTGAATGTATGCTAGTCCCACTAATGCCTAAGGTCTCAATCTTACGATAGGTCACATGACGATCTTGCAATATTAGTTCATGCACAGCATCAATGGTTTTCGGAACAACAACTGATTTTGGACCACCTTCGCGAAATTCGTCTTGGAGTGAACTACGACCCCGATTGAATTCACCATACCATCGATAAACACTGGTCCTTGATGGAACTTCATCGCCAAAAATTGAATTAAGTTCATCCATGCATTGTTGCTGAGTTAATCCACGTCGAAAGTTGTAAAAAATAATCGCACGAAAACGTTCACAATTTAATTCCATTTTGGGGCCAAGATGAATCTTTTAAGTTACTCAAAACAACACAAATAGCGCTCGTATGTCAAAACGTTCCAAGTACGTATAACCTCAAAACATCCAACTTTACGATAGTGTTGTCAATTGCCAGATTGCAACACCAGGGTTGCCAAATCCCGAAACATAAAAGGCAACCTTCGTATCCATCTGTCCTTCATCCGAGTTCTAAATCGTTTCTCTTTACTAACTTGTACGCACCCTGACCTTTTGTCACCCTATTATGCCTGCCCATTCGCCATAGCCCTTCCTTCTTGTTTTCTTGTATTCTTTTTTGGAAAAATATTATATTCAATTAATACTTCTCTTATGAATTAATTCATATCAGTATGCTCATCTCAGTATGTAGAACTATTTATCTTTATATGTTTAGTTTATTATATTATCAACAACAATAACTATTTAGGAATAGACACAACTGTCTGTTCCTTTGACCTAATTTAATAGTGTCTTAGTCCCTACTAAGACATCTACTGAACATCGGTAGTAAACATCTTAATGTTCATAGTCTTAGTAGTCCCGTCTCTTTCTTCGCAATCTCTTTTGTTTCTCTTGGTTTGTATTTTAAGGTCTGTTTTGTTTCAGAAATATATGTTATTAAATTGCAGTTGATATACTTTAATTTCACAAAAACTGTTAATTCAGTTTGTTAATTCACAAGAACTCATATTTCATACAATATTTTTTCATTTCTTGTTTTTAGTGAAAGGGAATTTCGATGGTTTTAATGATTTCAGCTGTTCCAGATGACAAGCTCACACCTTGCCACTGACCCAGAAATGTATATTTTCTTCTTTTCTTTCTCCTTAAAAAATGATGTATTTTCCTCTGATAAACCAAACTGACCACTTTTATTTCAAATAATTACATTCATGCTAAGAGTTATGAGTTGAATTAAAACTTTTATTTATTTGCAGAAAATTCATCAACAACATCATTGGAACCAATATATGAAAACATTGAGTGTACTCGGCTTTCAACAGTGTCAAGTAAAATCATTCCTGATACTGTCGTTAATGAAAGTGAATGTGCCTTATGAATGCTGCTTTTTAGTGAATAAACATTTCAGTTTTGTTGTAAACAATGCTGTGATTGTAAATATTAGTATAAGTTTGTGAATAAGTTATAAAAACTGTCCTTACAGAACACTATTGTATTATATACATTTGAATTGTGTGTACATTAATATTTATTTATTTTTTAAGGTCTTCCTTTTTAGATGCCAAACAAGGTACTTGTGAAAAGAGTAATTATTTTTAAATATAATACAGTATTTTTATATTAATAAAGAATATTCTACAAAGTCTAATTTAACCGTAGATATAAATAATGATATTGGTTGGCTCTCTGAAACCCTTAATCAATAGAAATAGTAGACAGAATCTATGATATCAACTTTGTTTTCTCCATGATGTACATATCAATGACTAGTAAATGCAGCCATTACAATGATTCAATAACAGTACATTTGTGAATTATCTTTATTCAAGAAACAATCAAAATCAGTGTAGTTAACATTGTAATATATCTGAATTCATATTTTTATTTCTGATACGATTGATCTCAAATAAAAACAATTTGCAATTATAGAAATGATTTGATATTTCCAGTATTTTGGAGTATTAGAGAAATGTTACTGACGACAATGACATCAGTATTAAATACTATGTTCATCTGGAAAATTATCATTCATGAATCAGAATATTTTTGGTGTCAATTTTTTTATGTCAATGGCAAATTAAATTAAACATCAATATATTCATTTTTAAGTTTTTCACAACTTTCCTTCCCACTACTTTGTATTGCTATGTATGAAATAATGAACATTATATTTTTGTTTAACTTTCTTTTCTTGTTTATTCTGTTATAATAAACATAAATATGTTTGCTGGTATATGTTATTCAAGAAATAGAAACTCTTATGACATTGTTTAACATTTTGTTGTGAGATTTTTCATTTCGTTAAACTTAGTTATGAATTGTTGAATGGTCACGAACATGAAGTAACTACAGTTACTATAGCTACACATACTTCTTATAACTGATCTTACTGTAATATTAATGTAATAATATGGAATAAATATTGTAATAAAAATTTAAATCTTTGATGAAACTGTAGTTGAAGTATAACTGCACTTACTATAATGTTAATGTACTAATTAGAATAACTAGTTATTACATTAATACATTACAAAGATTTAAATTTTTTTAGCCATACAAATCCAAATACTGTCTGTCCAGAAAAACTGGCAAATATATGGACAATCATATCATGAACACCAATATTTGTGACGAATTGGAAGATGGAACTGAATGTCCCCTCTCTTGTTTTAAACCCAAAGATTAGTGAATTCTACCTCTTTGTCTTCTTTAAAGTTTGCTGAGATTACATAAATATATTTGACATGACAGATACTCAGTGTTGATTAACATAATTTTATGTATTGCTTCATGCTACTGAATGTCATTCCTAAAGTGGAAATTTATAGTGGAGTACTTTTTTTTATTGTAATAAAATATGTGCCATAGTCAATTTAATAGTGACTTTGTATATTTAGTGCTCTAAAGTTAACTTTTCTTTTCCCACTGAATCCAAAACAAGTATGGTAGCATCATTAAATATAAATGTTTTTATTTCATTATTAAATTCATTTTACATTACCAAATTTTGATGTGTCATGAAAATGTTTTATAAACATACTGTATTAATTGAAGGTAATACTTTATTTAATTTCTAATAAAACACATTACCAATACTCATAAATATAATCACTTCCATAACACATTGCTACTTAGATGTGTCATTATTGATCTCTGCTGAGTATGTTATTTATTACTTTTGAGAAATGTAGAGATTTCAGAATGATTTTTGTATTGTGTTGTGAGTAAAATATTGTAAAGCGTAATTGCTATGCTTTATTCTCTTTTAACAAAGATGATATCAAAGACCAATTTGACAAAAAATTTTAAAAGGAATATATGTTTCAAGATGGCAATGAAGAAAATTTATTTGTCATTATATTATAAAAGAAATAAATGACAATTATTTTAAAACTTCTGATTTCTTACATTATAGCAAATGCCATTTTTTCCATACCTTAACTTTCTTTTCACATAATCTTGTGAACTTACTTTTCTCCCCCCCCCCTCTCCTCTCCCTCCTCTCTCTCTTCAGCTGGTAGCGGACGGAAGCAGAGTGATCAAAAATATTGGGGAAGCAGAAATGCAAACACGTTCAAAGTAACTAATGTTTCATATGTTCCATAATAATGAGAAAATCTAGTGGTGCAAAAATACCATGTACTTTCTCCCCTGCATTTTCACGCAAAATTCTGCGAAAAGTACTCAAGTTTTTGAAAAATTGTACATGATCTTATTTCATAATCTATCTTAAAAGAACAGATTTCATTAAGGGAAAAAATCTCTATCTTTAATTTTTTAGTTGTGGGAAGACTTCGGGAAAATGTTGAACTTTTGCAATTTCCAATTTGCAAAATTAGAGTTTTCAACAAAAATGTGACTTGCACCATTCTCTTAAACGTTCTACACACTTTCCAACAGCAAAATTTAATAAAAAAAAATAGAGCCATTTTTTGAAAATTTGGAAAATGGCCCAAGGTTGGAAAATGGCCAATGCCCTGTAGTAAGAGCTTTTCTGGCAAAAATTTGCCGCTTTTTCGTGCAACATTACATAACTTTCTCACTACTCTGCAGGGAGAGAGTAAAATGAAGACCCTTACATGTAATGTAATGTAATGTAATTTAATGTAATGTAAGTATTATTCATGTGGAAATGTATAATGAACATTTCACTATCATGGCAAGAGCCATATTTCTATTTCAAGCTTTTTCTAACAGCCCGTGCGCCTTGCGATATATCTCGTCTCTTTCTGCAGAGACAAGCACCCGCTTGGTAGCCAGTTCACCTTTTAATATCCAAATTACGATATTTTCAATTACAAACGTAGATGTCAAGATGCTAGTTTGTAACAAAATAGATTTTAGTTTAAAATAGCTTCAAAATTATATGATTACTACTTGTTGCAACGTATTGTCCATAATAATAATAATAATAATAATAATAATAATAATAATAATAATAATAATAATAATAATAATAAATGTTTTTATTATTAATTATAATTATTATTATTGGAACAATACATATCAATTCTGTTTGCAACTACATAAAATTTAACAGTAGTAGTACATTCTATATTTAAAACTTGAAATGGTGAGGTGGCAAGTTTTGCCCTCTTTTTTTTCTTTTTTCAATTTGTACACATAGTCCAGATAGAGAAACAGATTTTTTTTTTTTTTGTCAGGCATTCTCCTTCTATTTCATAGGATGGCGATATGCCAGTTTTTTCTTTGCTTCAGCTCAAAACAGTTTACATGAAACAGAAAGTCTAATGGGATAAGAAATTCTTAATTATTTATATTTTTAATGGAAATGTTGTAAATTCTTTTACACTGTAGAACATGTTGTTAAGCAGGAAAGTTTTCAAATGTGGAAAGAAAAACTTTTTTGTAAATGTTTACAATTTTTAAAAAATCTTTGAGTTAAATCCACAAGTTAAAGTTTTTACTGAATTTTGATCTCTTAGCTATCTAGTATATATGCAATTTTCAGATTATTATGTGATCTCCCAACAGACATATTACAGTTGAAGATTTGGAAAAATGTCCAAATTCTTAGAAAAAGTAACAAAGTTTTTTTACAAAAAGTCATAAAACTGTTATGTGTAAAAGCACAGAAAAAAATAAGGCTGAGTTTCTATTCCTTCTTTGAAAATTACTCTCTGAAATTCAAACTTGGTTCATTCACTTTCCGTAGATTTGGTTGCAAATATTTCCCAAATAAATACATAAAAGGTACGTAAATAAAATTTTGATCTGTAGGCTGAGTAAACTGATTATATAATGCCTTTTACTCTAGAATGCTAGAACAACCAAGATCTGAGTAATTTAGGAAATGTCTACAAATGAGAAAAATAGCACACGTAAAACAAAAATGGCCGCCATTTTTAAACCAGATAGAATAAAAATAAAGTAAAAATTTTTTGAACATCAAAACATTAGGTAATTTATGTTCAAAATGTGATTCTTTTCGAGATGGATAGATTGACCCTTATGAAGCAAATCATTATAAAAATATTTTAACCATATCTTTATTTAATGTATTTATATAATTATCTTGTATACACATGCTTCATAATCATTTAAATTATACAAATGAAACAACTTATTGATGATTTGAATTTAAAAATTAAAAATATATTGTTCAAAAATGCCAATTTCTGTACTTTTGTGAACATGTAGGAGGTCAAATATTAAAGCAGTGCTCATAAAAAGAATTACTTTTGCTAAAATAATAAACCACCTCTCGAATTACTATATTTAAAACTTTTATTTTACTCCAGCGAGTCCAAAAATAATGTGAATGAATGTGTTACTTATTACTAGGGAGCGGATTTTGATGACCTAAAACATAGCCAAAACTAATCATTAAAATGCTCTTATAATATTTTTAAAATACCCCCCCCCCAATAAAACAAAGAAAAATGATGTAAAAATTTTATCAAAACCACTTCAGATGAACAATTGAAGTTGTTGGATATGTTACTAATGAAATCGAGGCTTCTTCCTTTTGTTCAAGAGAACTCAGCTTGCAAACTTTTGATATGGACTGTTCTTTAAAAGAAAATCTCGGTGTATATTATCGCGAAATAGGCCGAACTGGGCGCCGACAAGGAGTCGCAGGAACGTTAGAATACATAGTACTAACAAAGGCTGACATTGCAATACATGAGCGAAGAAGTCGAATATGCTTCTGAAGAATTTTATGGTGAACATTAGTTGCAACTCGTAAATTTTGATTTAGGCAAGTTTCATTGAAATTATATTAAAATCGTTGAAAGCAGCGAAAAATGCAATAAAATTACATAAAAAGGTAAAGAATTACGTATTAGCCGAAATCGATGAAAAATGCAAAAAAACGACGTATAAAAATATATTATTTCGTTTTGACATGTCATAAAATTAATTTCTAGACTAAACGGTACTTTTTTCCCACTGATTATCATAATAAATTTTATAAATTAGGATATTATAAAATGTCACATTACCCTTTATTTAAGTATGGGCCTTTACAAATTAACACATTTATGGAGCCATATTTTTTTCTTTTCGTTAGGTATCCTAAGTTTTATATATAAATCATTTGAATTTTGTTTTTAAATAAAAAGATTACATAACTTAAAGGAAATATATATCACAAAGTAGATAGAAAATTTTTAAATAACTCCATCAATGATATATGATATATACATATTTTCTCGGTACAAAACATACATGCTATTTGAGTTTGCCGCCATTTTACTCCGAAATTATCTTTGAGAGCTTTGCCAACTTCGAATGATCAAAAAGTAAAATTCGTTTGATTGAGCAGTAGCGATCAGAAAATTGGAATAAACTTACTAAGGCACATATTTATTATTTACAATTTTTCATATTATTAATAAGCGTCAATACTAAAGAAAAAATTGTTTAAAACTAATCGAATTAATGTATGTAGTTGGTGTTCCATTGAGATTGGCAGTGCTGATTTTGTAGTTGCTGTCAGCATCGCCCGCGTAACGGCTTGACGATTTGATGTCTAAGTCAGTCCAATTTTCTGTTGCGAAGCGGTGAGGCACGTGGTGGTGTGATCTGGGCTAATTGTGTGACATAAGTGTCAGATTCGTACTTGCACGTGTGTAGGACTGTGTTCTATGAAATAATTCGTTTAGCAATTAAAGGGATTTCGAGATTTTGGGCGAGGATTCAATTATGCACCATTTGACAAGTGGGCATTGTTCCGTCAAGTTTTAAGGATTGCTTGAAAGCAATTACATTATTACTCATAAAATTTTGGATTAGAAATGGAGGTAATAAAAATATTATTTTGTTGTAATTGGAATTATAAATAAAATTACTTATGTAAAGAACTCTGCTTCTGCATTTGTGCTCTTACATTGTCATATTTAATTTGACATTAGTTCTTGATATGTAATGAGTAGGAGGCGAATTTGAACGAAATGTCATTATTTTTCTTTTCATTTTCGAACAATGCTTTTAGTATAGATATTCATTTTTTGTTATGGCAAAAGGAAATTACCCATTTAATAGGACATTATTTTGCATTTCTCTTTGATTTCCAACTAATAAGGCATTTTTATTACCTTTTTCGTCATTTTAAATCTGTTTTCGCTTATTCCTTCTATTTCAATATCATTTAATGGTACTTGCTCAAATAATAAGTATGAGATGCTACAAATGTTCTTCACAGAATTCCAGATTAGCCCACTTGATTTCTTTGCTCAGAAATTGTAATGTCAACCGTTGTGCGTAGGTAATCTTAAGGTTTCTGTGATGCCTATCAGCATCATTGTCCATTCAGCAGATTTCATGACAAATAAACACAGAGATTTCATTGTCCAATCCAAACCAAAAGTTTGCAAGCGGACTTCACTTGAACGAAGGAAAGAAGTCTCCACTATATCAGTAACATATCTAACAGCCTGAGTTGTTCATCTGATCTGGTTTTGATAAAATGTTTTACGTTATTTTTCTTTGCCTTTAAAGCATTTTTAGAACATTTCAAGAGCATTTTATTGATCATTTTTGGATATATTTTAGGTCATCAAAATCCGCCCCCTAGTAATGAGGATTCAATTATGTTTGTGAGGTAGTGTTAAGAATATGCTAATAATAGTGATTGCAAAGAATTATTGATAAAAGTGTTTAATATTTAGCTTGAACAAGAACTGTACAATTTGAAGAGACAGTTGTCTGCTGAAAAAGCTTCTTGTAAATTTCTTCAAGAAGAACTGGAGATACTTCAGAAAGAAATGAAAGAACAGGAGAGAAACTTGAATGAAGTAATTAAGTCTTTGAGAGAAGAAATTGACCTAAAGAAAACTTCAGTTTTGGAATTGAAAATCAAGGTATATACATATGAAACATTCAAAGAGACTGCTAAAGGTTAATCGATTTTCGATTTTGAATTTTATAAAATATTCAAGTCGACCATAAATGGCTAATGTTCATATTTTGAATTTTATTTCTACTTGGTAGTTTTGTAAATGACCGTTTATATGCTATTGTTTATCTTTGTTGTGAAGGATAATTAGATCAGATAAGAGAAATAATTTCTCCCATTTTCACTTTTTACCTTTGTACTACACATTAGTTATCTTGAATCAGAGGAGTTATTTATATTTTTTTGGTCTGTGTTAGTTGAGAACTGAGTTACTACACTGAAATAATTATCATTTGATATTTTATAATTTGCTTTAATCAAACTGAAAATTGAGCCATTATTAAAGCATTCTGGGAATTATTATAAATGACAAAGTATTCTCAAAGGCTATAATTGTGAATTTTTTTTATTCAGGTAGAGAATCTAGAGGAAGAAAGGGAAGAGGAAAGAAAAAAGTATGAGTCAGAAATTGATCTACTGAAAGGACAACTGGCAAATGCAGTAATTGATCAAGGAGAAAATTCAAAACGTCATTTGACATTCCAGTCAGAAATGCAAATTCTACAGGTATTTTATCAAAAATTCTGTGACATTACGGGTAAATATTAAGGTTTATTAATTACATTTGAAATTAACCACATGCCAGTATGAAATACAGATGTTCATCATCAATTTCAATTAAGTTCTGTAATATTTTCTGTATATTTAGTAATCCAAGGATTAAGCCCCCCCCCCCCATTTCAAGATTTCAAACTCGAAAAAACTGCTGTTGATGACATTGATTTTCATTATTGTGATTACATTTAAGGAATAAAGTAACAAATGCATAAAATGTAGTAAAGCAGCAAAACAAATTTTGCATTTTTCTGTAAATTTATTTTGTACTTGTGTTCTCTTTGAATTTGTTTGTGTCATTGTAATTTGTGAGCACATTAACTGCTATGGTCATTAGTCCTGTTAATTTAGGTTTATAATGGGAGGAGGCAGTAACTTTCCCCACTGTCTGATGAGATCTGGTGTTGACCTACAGGTAGGCTTACGGGTGATGACCCCAGCCAAATATCATCCCCATTGTGTGTACTGCCTCAGACAAGCAAGCTCAAAGCTCCCGACAGGAGAGAAAGTGTAGTGCAAGTGGGTGCTTCAGGATAAGGAAGGGAAGATGGCATGCTGCCCATGGCCTGTTAGTTAAAGTGCTTTCGTGCCCTACGCTTGATCTGAGCGGCTGGCCATTAGAATTCTCTTCCTGACAGTTTCTGAATTCAACTTATATATTCAATCTTAGGACATCCTGGTCAGTCCTGCAAGGCAATGATAATGGTGGCTCTGAGCTAATGCAGCCAGTTTAGATTGTGTGTGTTTGTGATGAAATTGCAGTTGTCAATACTAGCAAATGAAGTTTGCATTTTCTGACAGTTACTTTATTTTGGTGTTTTTCATACTTGTTTGTGTGAGTTCATTGCAATAATATTTGAGTTTTTAATAAATATTTATTTTCATTAAATTATAAGGGTGTGGGTTTTTTTTTAAAATTTAGCCTGTATTACTCAAGGTATAATGAGGAGTATTTTTTTACTTTATCCGGAGTTAAACAGTCAAGTATTTTGAGCACATTGTGTAGTGGAACAAACATTAGTGAGCTGTAGCCAACCATTTTCGTTCGCTCAGTTGGTTTAACATTACCCTTCGAATTTGCATAATTGGGTAATAAAATTTGCATTTTACTGTCAAGTTTATTTTGTACATGTGATGCTTTGTTCTTGTGTATTATTGAATTGGAGTTTTGAGTACTAGCAAATGAAGTTTGTATTTTATTGTCAGTACTTTATTTTGTTCATGTTATGCTTTTTTACTTGTTTGTGTGTGTTGTGATTCAATTTGAGATTTTAATGAATATTTCAGTATATAAAAGTGTAGGGCTTGTTATTTTATTTGAAATAGTGAAGATTCTAGTGATCTTCTAGTTGTGAGCAGAGCACGATGTTCAATTACTCTTAAGTCAACCCTCTCCACTAATCGTTACCAACTTAACAAGAAGTGAAAAGGCGACATAGCTCATAGAAATGGAAAAGCATGAAATGAATGAAATTAGACGGATTTACGAGTATTCTTTTCTGAAATAGCACACAATCCAACAATGTGTGGACCCTAGTTATAGGGTCTATGAAGTGAAGGAAGTGGTTCACTTCCACTTGAAAGGCCTTATTTTAATAGAAACTTCCAAATTATTTCGCACGTCTCCCTCCATGACTTCTCATGTTGGTTTTCTGGCAAGAAAATATTCAAAAGGAATACTTTGCAGTTCAAGCAGTGTGTCTTGTCATACAGAAAGGGCACTGCATTTCCGACGAAACAAGTTTCGCCATTCAGCCAACAGATAGCTGCATTAAAGTGAATCTTGGCATCTTCAAAACTTAAATATGTCCAAACCAAAAAGTATAACCAAAACCAGAAAAAAGTAGAAATTGCACAATAACATGGCAAAATAGCGAATGAATTCCACGGTTGGAATGCTGTGTATTTTGCAAGTAGTGTGGGGTAATTTATGAATGTCTGAAGGCAGAATTCCGTTTTGTAATCAACAGATAGCTAGAATTCTTGAAATAATTTAAAAATCATTAAAATATTTAGGTTTTGTGTGTGTGTGGAGGGGGGTGCCAAGAACTTTTTAAGTTTTGTACATGTGTTAAAGAAAAGCAAATGAGTTTTTGAATTGGGGAAATCTTGCTTCATTCTATTCAACTGAGTATGTAATTTTATAGAGTGTTGTATGTTGATTTTTTAAAGTAGCCGGGGACATTACATCATTGTTACACCTCCTGTCTTATAAAATGAATATTTTTAATTAATTTATGAAAGTCCTTCTCAACGGGTCTCATGGCCTCAGGACGCAGAATGTATAACAATTACCTAATGTCATTGGCCACTTTAAAAAATGGATGTATAATTATAATTTTTAAAAAAATGTGCATTTGTTTCTTGCTTACTTCATTTTGAAGTCGGCTTATTTACTTTCCAAATGTTGAGTGTCATAAATGTTTGTTTTTTTTCTTCCTGTTACTTTTCACATGTTACAAAATGTTTGGACACATTTTGACTATGAAGAAATGTAATTTAAATCACATATAAGAATTAATTGGGCAAGGAATGATTTGTAGTTCAGATTGTGAAAATAGTTCCCTTTGTTGTAGGATAAAATTGATGTTCTAGAGCAACAGCTAGAGCGAAGTAAATCAGAAAGTGAGAAACTTCTCCTCGAGAAAGTGCAGGGAATGAAGCAATACGAGGAAATACTCGAAGAAAAGGGTGAATTAAAAAATGCATTGACAGGTGTAAGGCATGAATTGGCATCATCCTTAGAGCATTGTCAAGTAAGTAGAGAACTTGGAGTGAATATGTCATACTTTTTCATTCATGATGTGGTTTATCAAAAACAGAGTACATTAGGAAACATTTTCAGAAAGTGAATTGTGGGCATGTTAAATTTCAATAAACAGTGAAAGGTGTTTTTGTCTTGTTAAAATATTGTTTTTAGCATATAATAGATTTCTAAGAAATTGAGTTACATGAAAATACATTGATATATTTTTTTATAGGCATTGCAAGAAGAAGTTGTTTTATTAAAAGTTGAAAATAATGCTTTTAAATCAGCACCACAATCTCATTCATCAAAAGGAAATTCAGTGTTTGCAGAAGTAGATGACAATCGAAAAGCTTTGAAAAATAGTTTGGATAAACTCGTAGAAAAGTATAATGTAGTGAAGAAAGATCTTAAATCCAAGAGTTCAGAGATTTCAAAACTGAGGGTAAGTAGGTACGTAATTAATTGCAATTTTGGGGGATTTAGCATAGATCTAGTTTGATTTATTTTGGCAAAGAAAAGTAAAAATTGTATGACACTTAATGGGGGTGAGTTACAATTGTACAATTTGGGCATCTTTTCTTGAGCTCTGGAATCTGTTCCCCACCTTTTCACCATAAATAGTTGAATAAGTGTACCAACAAATGTTTTAAGTACATATAAAATAAATTTTCGTTCCCGAGTTATAGAGACTATGCGTTGGTAAAGGAACTACTTGCTTGAGGTTTTAGTATTTCTAATGAGAAAGTGATCACCCTGACTCTACTCTTACTACAATTAACAAAAAAAAAGAGCTCCACAAAACGTGCGGATAGTGAAGTTGTGTTTATGCCCAAAAGCAAAATCTCAGCATTTGTGCAATGGATCACAGAAACCATTTCAAGATTTAAACATAGAATGTGCTAACATTGTTAAATTACATGTAGTTGCTACCGTAATTGATATCATGTACTATTTTTATTATTATTGTTATAATAATAATAATAATAATAATAATAATAATAATAAGTAGTAGTAGTAGCAGTAATATGACAATAACAGGTAAATTTTACTTTTACTTTAAACTTGAAATTATACAAATTTTGAAATGTTAAATTATTTGGTACTAAAAATAATTATCTATCGTATAATATCTCAATTTTTCTGTGACAAGTATTGTAGTATCAGGTTTATAGTTCAATTTCCCAAGTTCCTTGAGCAAATGCTGAAATGGCCCCCTTGTTTCACTTCTGTACAGAACTAAGCTATCTCCCCCCCCCCTCCCCAAAGACATCATATTGGCTTGTCATACATAATTGTGGTTGTATATGCGACTCATTAAATATGATTAATTATTAGTAATAGTATTAGTATTATACAATTCATCGGCCACGCGGGTCGGCGAATGCTGACGTAAGTCACCCAATTGGCCCAGCGCATAGTCACCAAGGGAGCGTAGAGACGCCGCCGAACTGCCGATACCTAACTTGTCTCCCGCAGTATAGCTTCGCATCACCTTTGTGCATGTGCAGAAGATAGTTTGCAGTCCACTCGCTTCATGGCTCACACAGGTTTTTAACATAAATAAATAGAACACGCATCCGCGAATTGAATGGCATATTTATAACCTCGAACTTCTAAGACCAGTTGACGTTTCTCGTGATCAGTTCATGGCGGTGCTCTGGCCTTTGGCCTATGAGATTAACATAAAACATCCTTCTGTTCATCGCCTTTTACGACAAAATATATTTTCAGTGAATTTAAACGTACAATTCTTATTTGTGCTTTCAGTTTCCGATTTTCCAGAGTATTTTCGATAAGGGTATACCCAAAACCACAATAAGACAATGGTCTGCTTCAGTCTTGCCGAACTGTAGCAATGTAAAGAAAGTGTAATTTGGACGCCGTACGTTATGGCGTTTTGTGAACAAGTGAATAGCACCCTGCGCGCAACAGGCACACGCTAAAATACTGGAAATTTCTTTAATTGCAATATTAATTTCTAATAAAAAGATGAAATTCTAAGATACAATTGTCTGGTAAATTACTATTTAATTATTTTTCATTCAACAGGCTGAAAAATCTGCATTGTTGAGGAAAGTGCAAGAGGTATGTGCAAACCAAGAAATTAATGAAACCAATTTAATAGATTCATACAAGGCTAGAATAAAGGTAAGATAAGTGAATAAGGTTGGCTTTGTTTAGTATTTTTACACACATACGTATTCATTAATGCTGAATAACACTTGTTTTCTCAGGATTTGGAGACCATTGTTGAAGATCTTAAAAAAGACAAGGAGTCTTGTGACAGTGCAAGCGATTATAAAACCATTAATGGAATTTTTGCTGTGAAAAAGTAATCCTATTTTTTGGTTTGTTGCTTCTTGTGCCGTGCGCCTGGCTTGGACTAAATCCTCTGTTAAGCTTTTTGCCAATTCTTGCCACGTCGCAGGCACTGTCTTATACTTTTCGCCAAGGGCTCGGCGCAGTTTCTATGTAACCTGGAACCAAAGACGGACCGCGAGGACTCCAATTCGCGTAACCGCTGTGACCACGCGCCACGGAGGTCGGAAATCGGCTAAAACGCCGGCTTTTTGTTTACTTGTATTAAAAAATGCAGATTATGCTTTTCTACGCTTCTTAACAAATATATTTTACTGCACATTTTGCATATCACGTATGCCTTGTAATTTTAAGTCTTAAATTTGTAGACAAAAACAAAACCTTAAAATTTTACAGCCTTTGCACTAAACACCGTATGTTTATGCCCGTTCCATCTGCCAAGCTTCAATATCACTCTCAAACGCCCGTTTCATGTGCCAAGTCTTCACCATCATTCTGCATGCCCGTTTCATGTGCCAAGCCTTCACCATCATTCTGCTTGCCCTTTCAATTTGCCAGGCCTTCATCATCACACTGCACGCCCGTTCCAACTGCCAAGTCTTCCACCATCATTCAGTAACACTTGTTCAAACTGCCAAGCCCATAGCAACACTTCGCAACGACCGTTCCGTTTGCTACGTCTACAGCATTATTCTGCAACGCCCGTTCCGTTAGTCAAGCCTTCACAATCGTTGCACGCCCGCTCCGTCTGCCAAGCCTTCTCCATCACTCTGCAACGCCATTTCCAGCAGCAAACTCATCATAAATCTGCAACGCCCTTTCCATCAGCAAAGCTTTCACCATTATTCTGCACGAACGCTCTATCTGCCAAGCCTTCACTATCACTTTGCAACCTCAACCTCTCGTCGACCCGTCTGTCACGCCCTCTTGTCGGCCCGTGTGCCACGCCTCTTCCTTGACACCACCCGCCACGCTCTCCTTGACACCCACCGCCACGCCTCTCCTTGACACCCCCCCCCCACGCCTCTCCTTGCACCCCACTCTCCACACCCCCCACGCCTCTTCCTTGACACCCCCCCACGACGCCTTTCCTTGCACCACCCCCCCACGGCCTCTCCTTTACACCCCCCCATGCGTCTCTTGGGCAACACCCGCCACTCATCTCCTTGCACCGCCTATCTCCTGGCAACACCCGCCACTCATCCTCCTTGCCCGCACTTCACCCTGCCAGCCATCATGCTCCTTGGCACACCCGCACACTCATCCTCCTTGGCACACCCGCCACGCATCTCCTTGGCACACCCCCACGCATCTCCTTGGCACACCCGCCACGCCATCTCCTTGCACACCCGCCACGCCTCTCCTTGGCGCACACCCGCCACGCCTCTCCTTGGCACACCCGCACGCTCATCTCCTTGGCACACCCGCCACTCATCTCCTTGGCACACCCCCCCGCCCCCTCCCCACGCATCTCCTTGGCACACCCGCCACGCGCCTGCTCCTTGGCACACCCGCCACGCCTTCCTTGACACACCCGCCACGCCTCTCCTTGACACACCGCCACGGCCTCTCCTTGACACACGCCACGCCTCTCCTTGGCACACACCCGCCACTCATCTCCTTGGCACCCCCCCCACGCATCTCCTTGCACCACCCGCCACGCCTTCCTGACACACCCGCCAACGCTCTCCTGACAGCACACCGCACACCGCACGCTCTCCTTGGCACACCCCGCACGCCTCTCCTTGACACCCCGCACGCTCGCCTTGACAACACCCGCCACGCATCTCCTTGCGCACACCCGCCACGCCATCTCCTGGCACACCCGCCACGCATCTCCTTGGCACACACCGCCACGGCTCTCCTCGACACACACCCGCCACGCCTCTCCTCGACACACCACCCGCCACGCCTCTCCTTGACACACACCCGCCACACGCCTCTCCTTGACACACACCCGCCACGCCTCTCCTTGACACACACCCGCCACGCCTCTCCTGCGACAACACCCCGCACGCCTCTCCTTGACCACCCACCACGCCCCCTCGGCCCGTGTGCCACCGCTCTCTGACTCATCGACACGCCCTGTTTCGGCGGGCCATCTGCCACCTTCTCCGCGATTCGTTCGCCATCCATTCTCCTCTCGACACTTCCCCATGCCCATTCACTTACTGCCCCATTCCGTTACTCTTTCCCGTTACGAATGCGCCCCCCCCCCCCCCCCCCCCCCCCCCCCCCCCCCCCCCCCCCCCCCCCCCCCCCCCCGAAATTTGTTTGCTGCGATACCTCCTCTCCACCCGCCAAGGCAGGTGCTTCGTGTAAAGTGCACCGAGAAATAAGTGAATGTTTTTTTAAAATCTGAGTTTCGAGTGAGAATAGGAAAAAAGCCAACGCATAATTTACTCGCTAGTTTTATTCATGAACGAACTGAGGGTATGAAAATAAAAAGTTTTCGGTGTCATTGGGCCCCAAAATGTGTATATCCGTTGATATCTTAAGGATCACGATTTTCCGGGGCATTACTTAACTCTATATTACATGTTACTCCATATGTACGTAACTACATGAGAAAGTATCTAGGTTGGCAAATTTAAGATTTTTTTTCTTTTTTTTTTTTTTTCTCTCTCTCACTGAAAGAATGTGTTTTGTGTGGTATAATTTAGGGGACATTTTTTCAAATTATTAATTTCTTTTGTATAAAGTAGGTTTGTTTGTTTGATTATGAAACTTAAGCAATGCAGCATGGTTTAGGAAGTATAGGAGATTGGATGGAAATGAAATGATCAAGGGATTGGCTATTAATGTTTGAGTTATGTTATTTTAAGTTCCATATTAATTTAATGATACGTTTTAAGGGGAATGTTCGAGACGTTTGCATTAAAGTACCAACAGACAGTTGTGATGCAATTCAGATAAGTATTTTGCGAAATGCAAGTTTTAAAATATATTCACCTGCCATTTGGTCTACAGCTATTATGGTCATGTATAATCTTATTTCTTTATCATCAAAAATAATTAAAAACTGTGTGATGTACTATGGTAAAGGTGAATTCTGCGCACATTTTCTTGAGTTCTGGAATTCCAATCCCAGCTTATGAACAAGTTGAATTATGAATACAATCTATTAATTTGGACCTGGGAAGATGTGGAAAGTATATTCTTATGTTTTCTTCAAATTTTTATGGCTCTAGGACTTGATTATGAATGTTAATTCTGACATTTAATATTTGGTGTAATTTATGATAATCAAACATTAAATATTGTGAAAATTTGTGTGCTAATCACTGAGGTAAAATGTTGGGCTGTAATTTTCTAAACTTTTCAGAACTCTTGGTTTGGAATTAAAATAATAATTTATTTTCCAAGTAATATACGGTAAAATCTGTCTAAACCGGAATCTGTACACAACAGAAACCTATGTTACCTGGAAAATTTCCCGGCCTCGTTCCCATGAAGTTAAATGGCATTTTACACAGTACAGGAAAACGGAACGGTTTTTCAAGACCTGCAGGGGAGAAAAATCGTTATAATATGGAATTCCTATGAATTTAATACCATTGACAAGGAGACCCCAAGATGTTCTTAATGAAATGAATGCATCTGCAAGATCGTTTTAAATTCTCTATCCCATGATATATGATTTAGATGTGGCAGCCAGATATTGAAGGAGGCGTGCTTCAGCTGTCAACATAGAATTTGACCTTGGGGTTGCGTGTCTGTCAAGGTGTTGGCCATAGGGGAATTCTCTCTCTCCCAACTCTGAGCATGGTAAGGTGAATGGGCAAGGCGTCTCTCTATATTCATACGTCACTTTGCCCCCTGTTGAAAATTATCACCACTCGACCAGATACGCTTTGCTCAAGGCCAGGCGAGGGTATCAAAAAGTCATTGTACTGGGTCGTGACTCGTATTGTGCATTGAAAGAGTAGGCAAGCTGTCCATATTCAGCCAGTAAGGTGTTTATTTTTCATCTCGGAAGTTGTCAATGAACTGTGTTTAATAGTCATTTATTGGTTATTTCTTCCATAAATGTTATGTTAATGTATTTTGATATTTATAATAAAGTCATGTTATTTACTATATTTGTGGAAGAAAGGTCAATATCAAGTGTTGTAAAGTGGACAACATTGCATAAAACAGAAACCTCCCTAATCCGGAATTTTTTGTCCCGATCGATTCCTGCCCAGACAGATTTTACTGTATTTCTTTGGGGAAAGAACTGAAAAAATTGTTATTGAACTTATTTTCTTGGTATGTATTCTTAACTTGATTAAACAACTCACTTAAATGTGTTTTTGGTTCAGTATAAATTGTAATTTTTTTGTTGTAGCAAATTGATCGAGTCACTTCAAGACAAGGTAGAAAAGCTGTCACAAACCACTTTGGTGCAAAGTGAAACAATATTTTTCCTTAAAAGAGATTTGGAAATTCAAACAACTAAAGCAGCTTATGAACTAACAGAGAAGATGCGCCTTCAAGAATTGGTTGATGCTAAAACGTGTAAGAATTATTACTGCTATAACTAAATACTTTTGTTGAAATGATAAGATTAATGACTTGTAATCTTCTTTTCAGAGGATGACAAATGCAAAATGCAGCAAGTAGTAAATATTGCTGGTTGAGGGGAATTCTCAATTACACTTTTTTTAAATCTGGCTTTTAAAACCTAGTTGGTGAAACTATATTCTGAAAATTGACTTTCATTGCAATTTTATATTTGTTATATTAATGAAAATGTTTTGTAAGAGAGAAACTAAACAATCTGTAAGATTTATTAGAACTAGAATTTACTAAGTCAAGACTATAAGATTGATCTTTATTGTACACCATTTTATTAATAAATTGATATTTATTTTATGCTGGTTTTAATTTCTTGCTACACGACAACGTGCACCTGCATCCTGCATTGTATAGTGTCCATGAAGGTGTCATAAGTATGAGTGAGGTCTCGGAAAGACGTTTTCTTTCAATTCGTCTTTCCAGGGGATGATGCGTCATTACGAACATGCCCTCCAGCGGTGCGAAACCCCCGGACGTTCGTATTCACGCACGCAAAGAGATTGTACTACTACAGCGCCACTTGCTATTACGACTGAGACTGCCCCTCCCTTCTCATGTCACGTGGCAATGGCGGGTCTATTTAAGACTGAAGGATGTCGTGAAGTGTCTCACACTTCTTTTCCGACCAAATTACCACGTGCCATTGAAGCGTTGTGACTTTTCTGAATTACTCTACACCGGGATGACAGTTCTGACTTTTTCCGAGGATTGAAATTGGATTATCTGAATAGCAATATCTTCCGTTTGCTTTCAGATCATTATCTTGTAAAATGTCAAAATAAATTGGAATTACGTTTATTACATGTTGTAGAGAACCATATTTAGACAGAAAATGTCGGAAACTATTTTTCTTTAATCTTCGTCGATAATTAATATTTAAAATTCGCGATCCCACGCGTGTTTTAATATTTTTGTTGATAGTTATTGAAAATAGCTAGTAAACATGTTTTCCGTTTTTCGGGCGCAGAAATATCCGTTGAAAGAAGATATCGAACTGCGATTTAGGTATGAGCAGAAGGTTCTGAGCACTTGTGTTCACTTTGAGTTTTGCGAGGGCCAAAAGAGCACGGTGAGCGGTCGCTCGAGCCCTATGACCCTCGTTTGGTTGATCAATTCTAACAGGTGGTCGCGGCCCTGTCATTCTGAAGGTTCCGCGAGTTTGCTGAAGGTAAGCTAATAAACCCCATAAAAATTCGCCTTGTTTTCATATAACACAAATGAGTTTTAATGGAGAATACTATAGTATTCGCCCTAGGTTACGTAGTTAGCATGTATGTAGGGGACATCGTCGGAGATCTGGTTGAAATTCGTTGTCAATCTTAAGGTCTTGATTAGAATACATAATTTTGTGGCATTTCTTGAAACAAGTAATATTAATTCGAGTTGTCGGATGAAACTGAAAATAAATGATAAAAAGTAACTTATAAGTTGATCACGTGTTTCTAGACGTAGACAAAGGTGTAGTACCTGAATGTGAACTCGGATGATCTTAATTAATCTGGAGGAAGCGAAAAAGAAAACCATTCGTTGTAAATGCACATTGAATAAAACAGCTTATGACCTTGAAAAAATATTTGTGATTCTTTTCATTCTAGTTGTAGATTAATGAATGCTTTCATATTGTGTATTGATAAAAGACAATTAAGGTTAAATTTTGTTCATAAAATTTTGTCAATGTTGACTAGAAAATTGTTTTCTCCTGCTAATAGTTAGTTAGTGTTACACTAAGTAAAATTGATTTTCTGTAAATAAAGAAGAAATAAACAATTTCTGTAAAAATAAAATGATTTATAAATTCTGGTTTCAGTTAAAGCTTTGGATAATGTTATTTCAAATATTTCTGTGGAATATGACCAGACCTATTGTATCTGATGATAATAAAAAACAGTTGTTTTCTAGAATTATTCTGAAGTCCCTATTTGAAGGTATGCTATTCTCTGGTCGTCAACTGTCTTTTTTTCTTTAGGAAAATGTCATCAAAGAAGTTTTTCAGTAAAGTTACTGAGCCCATTGATCAGTGGCTGGAAATACAAGGATTATATCGTAAACATACTGCCCATGATCCCTCTTGTCTTTTTCGAGCTGTAGCTGAACAGGTGTGTTGCCTTCAAACTCCACTATGAATCTAAAAAACAAAATTGTTCATTTATTTTAATTTACCCATACAATAGTATCTATAATTATCAAGGGACAACCAAAGTATATTACATTAATGATCATTAATATTTAGGGAAAGAGCAGACATGTTGTTTGAATTGTATATCAAATGAAAAGTATCTTAGTGTAGAGAAATCTCTATGATGTCTTGTACCAAACATATCAATTCTTGGTTCTCACATTTTTTTCCCCATTACTAGGTGTACTTTTCCCAGTGCTGCCATGAAATAGTAAGAAAGCAATGTGTACATTTCATGGCTCAGAATAAATCTCAGTATGAAAAGGTAAAATATATTATCTTATCGTTTATGTTCATTTTCCTAAAAAAATATATATATTATAAAAAAAATTCCTTGTAGATGGTGGAAGGGCCAGTGGAAGATTATTTATACAAACTAAACAACTCAAAGGAATGGGGTAGTCAACTGGAATTAAATGCACTATCCCTTTTATATCAGTAAGTGAGCTTTTATAGTCTTCTAAGAAAAATATGATCACTTAATTCTGATTTGAATTTATTAATAAACTTTTGATTATGAAGTACAGTTTTGACCAATGTTTTACCTATATATATTTAATCCTGAAGGAGAGGTGCCATATCTCACTAGATTGGAGTCACTATAATTTTGCATAATTGTTGGTCAATAAACTTACAGACCTGAGTGCCATATAGACCTGATTCACTATGCTTCAGAACTCACACACACTTGGTTGTCGTTATTCATTATTGTGAAGGATGGAAATCACTATTCGAATCTGTCAGACTTGTTGTCACCTGGCATGTAACAATGCACATTGAACACTTCAATAAAATATTTCCTCTCTATTTACAATTTTATTTTCTGCAAATATATAGATTTTGTTGTCACACACTCTTATGTGTTTGTAAATAATTAATTATTAAATACAACTATTCATACTTTCAACAAGTAATACAACTTAGAAAGCATTTTAAGGCAAGTTTTATAATGCATTGATAATATAATACAGAATAGAGTATTAGCTTAAACCATCCCTTAACTGCTTTGAAAATAATTCACTGAACACACAAATATCAAAAGTTTCTGGAAACTATTTGAAATGTAGTATACAAAAATTAGTATTACGTGGGTCAGTTGGAGTTGGCACCTCCTCTCTTGTCACAGTTACGGGACCATTCTTGCAGAGTTAAGAGATGCATTTTATTTCTTACCTTCATCATTCAATAAATATCTCTAGTGTGATACTTTATGTTAAAATATGGTAAAGGTCTTTTGTATCTAAAGTTTTTCTGATTTAGGAGGGAGATTGTAGTGTTTGAACAAGATGAAAAGCCCCGTCGTATTTCAATTAATAATGCTTTCAAGAAATGTATTATGTTATGTTATTCATCTGAAAACCATTATGATTCTGTATATCCTAAATCATATATAATGAAATCTGCATTTTGTCAATGTAAGTATTACAACAATAACTTTTTATTATTATTATTGGTGAGATGACTTACAAAGATTAAAAGAAACGTACTTACTTTCTGTTCTTTTAATTTTAAAAAAATTAAACTTCTTGTTTTCACAGCATTGGTCTATGAAATACTTTACAAAAAGGTATTTCGTTTGATAGATGTTGATTTTGCTGTTGATAAAATGCTTCGTAAATCAAGTCACACTAAAAGAGAACACTACATTCAACAAAATTATATTTGTGCGTCACGAAGGTAGAAATTCATTTTATTGAATAAAAATAACACTTATAATGCAGCATTTGAATAATGAAATTCACTCTCTTTAATGGGTTTGTAGTTTTGGATTGTCTCTTGATTTACCTGAGAAGACGGTGAAACATTTAGAACATGAAAGATTTGAAGATGAACTAAATGCAAAGGATTTGTTGTTAAGAGGCATTACTCCATTTCCTTATAAAGTTGCGAAGGCTCTTGATCCAGATATTTATAGAAATATAGAATTTGATGTTTGGAGTGATTTAAGAAGAGGTAACTTCTTAATCTTCATTGAAAATGTGTTCATGAATTAATGTACACTCTGACTTGAAAAGTAATTGTATTTCAGAGATGAAATTGGGTATTGTTGGAGGCAAAAGTGACGAGTTACAAATTGGAGTCAAGTGTTTGGTGAAAATGCAACCTGACCGTGTCTTTCATGCTCACATACAGGAAATGGAACCTAACAATGGGCCTGTCATTGTATTTGTAGAGGAACTAGGAAAAAAGTATGTGTAATTTTGTTGATAGTTTACAGACTCATTAACTTGTAAGAATATAATATTCCAGAACAACCTTCATTTTCAATTTCCAATATGCAAAGATCTGAATGAATGAAATTGTCTATTGTTATAGTAAATTAAAGTAAAATTCAGTTTCTGAGTATTAAGATATGTCATAATACCACATATAATTTTTCACCAATAATATTTCATTTCAAGATAAAATATAATACATAGAATTTTTTGTGGAAATATATATTTTATTATCCCATTGACATCTCGTTCTCTCATTAATGATGTCAAGAATATTTAAGTGCATTCTGTGGAGGCACAATGGAAAAAATTTTCAATGTTAAAGTACATTTTAAAAAGTTCTAATAAGACATGAGGGAAAAGTATTTTCCTATCAAAAATTGTTCTTCACGTATTTAGTCAGCTGTATTGTTGCATAATAACTTCATTCCCAACCAATCTTGTGTAAACTCAAGAAACAAAATTTCTAATTAAAAAATGAACTTTGTAAATATTTTTTTTAAAATTTATACTTGAATGTGGTGACAGTGGTATTAATATTGAGCTAAAAATGAGGATTGTCAAAGATGAAAGAAACAATTAACTAACACTATACAATTTGGGTATTAAATAATATCATTGTGCCTTTGATAATGTCCGTGAAAAGTATGTATTATTTTACAGGAGAGGCATGAAATTCCTTCAAATAATCATTTTCTTGTATATTTGTGTGTGTGTGCGAGTCAACACACCTTTATATTTCCTACAACCAATTTTAAGTTGTTTCTTACGCCTTAAAATGTTTATATCTTGTTTTTATTTAAAAAGAAAACAACACACACACTCTGTTTTGCAGGTGCAATGACTTATATTATTGTATTATACTGTAAATAATTATAAGTATCTTCATAATTTTTTTCCTTCCGTTGTCATTGAATTCACTTGTCTCAGAAGGTAAGAGTAAATGATAGTTGAAGTATATTTTCCCTTTTTTCCCTCCAGGTGCACTGTATCACATGATGTCTTGGAACCACTCCCGAAAAATCAGAAAGTACAATGGACAGTCCCCTACAAACAGCATCATATTAATACATTAGCTTCTAAGGCGCCATTCTTAAATATAACAGAATTGAGTATGTTTGAGATTTCAATGAAAATTACGTGTAATTTTTACATGACTCCCTGCTATTAATTTAACAACTTTTTTGTTCTCAGGTAGTAAATGGAGGAAAAACAAGTACAATAAGTCACGGAAATTGAAGGATATATTTATGCCTGCGTCATTGCAGTCGTCTATGCATTGTGCTTCTAATGGTCATCCAGCAAGGCAATTAATTTTTATTATCATAAACAGGGAGAAAGGTAGTGCAGTGTAAGCTGGTTGGTATGGTGTGCAAAATGCTGTAAATTGGCTCCACAAACCAGTTAAAAGTGCATTTATTATTACCTTTGTTTTAAATTTTGATTATTAATAAAAATTATTTATTTTTGATGTAAAAATTGGAGTATGTATGGTTTTTCAATGTGTAAATTTTTACCTAGAAGAGCTTACATTACACATCTAGTCCTTGTTCTGATGTCCATGAGCCAAAACTATCATTCAGCACAGAATTAAATAATAAGAAACAAATTTTTTCACAGTTTTCATCAAGATCCATCACAAGGAACTGTTCATTATCCGATGGATCACTTTAATTACAATGTAAGTTCTGGAGTATATGCAACTTCTGTGTCTACTTATAAGAAAAATAATTGGTTCATTGATCTGTATTTTTTGCTTAATTTCCTTTTGATTCATTTAGCAGAGTAATATTAGTGTAGCCAGCTCAGAAGAATGTTCAAATGAGTCATCACATATGATTCAAGCTGACAATGCTGTTAACAGTAACATGGGGTCCCCTCCAGCTGATTCTACATCACCTACAATTTCTGCTCAGTTAGGTGTTTCAGAGCAGAATCACAATAGCAACTGCAACCCTCCCTTCCAGATTGTTGGAGTTCCCATGTATCACTCGGTATGTCCAGATTCTTCAGGAATTAGAGTTTCTACACCATCAATTGGTTCTCCAATGCCTTCGTACATACTGTGTAATGGTAATCCTCAGGGGCGAGTACATCCTGGGATGGAAAACTTCACACTACAACCTGTGAATTTTTATGCTCCAAAATCAGTTAATTTAAATGGAAGTGACTTGCCCTTTTCTGGTAAGACAATCAATTTCTTTACTAGGTTTAGCATTAGTTTTTGTGTTGTTGTTTTTTATTTAAAATCCTTTTTTCTCTACAGATATTCCAACTTTGCGGTTCTATTACAACTTGGGACATGATGTGAGTAGATGATACTTGACCACAGTGTTATTTTGTAATGACAGTGTTTATGTACAGAATATTTTCTTTCCTATTCAGTTCTTCCGTTCAGGTTGTGTAATGTGGCCCAATCCTGGATCATCTTGCTCTCCTCATTTGTCTCCTCCACCTGGAGAAAATAACTCACAACTTCTTCCTGGTGTGTATAATGTTTGGATTTGTACATTTTATTCCAAGCCTGCAACTTTTCAGTTTAATGACAATTTTTGGGTGAAACAGATTCGACAGTTCCATCAGAAGAAGATTCTTATCAAGGACCAAAAATGCAAACTGCTCAACCAGCACCAGCTGTACATCAGCAACAACAAACCATTCCTCTTGCAATTCCTCAGACAATAACTCATACAATGCCAATTACAGCTCAAGTTGTTCCTCAAGTTGCTTCTGTTCCTCAAGTCTCTTCCTCTGCAATTGTATCTAACATGTTACCTCAAATGGTACCAGTTTCACCTTCAACTCCACATCCCATGTCTCATCCGCAATCCACTCCTAAATTGATACAACAGCCATCACCTTCACCTCCTCCTCCACACACCATGTGCCCTATTTTACCCAAATCACCACCACTCCAACAACCTATGTTTGGCATGAACAATATATGGCCTCAACAGACTGCTTCTTTTCCCAATCATCAGCAAAGAGTTAACATTCCCGAATCTGATAATAGTAAGTATGAAAGTGTTTTTTATTTATTTCATATTATTTATCAGCTATTCAAAGATGCTAAATAGGTTTTACCAACTGTTGGGATCTGATATTGGATTTTAATATTTTTTCAAAAGTATTTAAATTAATATGATGTCCATGAAAAAGATCAATAGGATAGATTAACATCACTTCTTTTTTTGTATGAGATAATTTCAAATTTTACCATTTGCTTTTAAAAAGGAGAAAATCACATATATATTTTTTTCCTTTTTTTGTATGCAAGTTTGTCTATTTTATTTTTAATTTTTTTACTGTCTTATAAGTTGTTCACTACATTAATTTGATGCTTTTTTTTCTTTCTTGTCTCCTTTTGTTTCGTTAGGAGTTGATATTTTTACCTCTATCAGAGGGCTTTAAATCAGCACTGCATTAAATACCTGGAAAGTATGTTTTATGCTGGTTGTGGAATTATTTCATTTTAAAATGTCCTCACTTATGTTATCCTTAGCGTTCTTTTGTGCATTACTTTCCATTTTTATTACTGCTGAGGTTTTAGCATGTTAATTCAAAGTTGGTTTTGCTCCTTACATTCTAATAAAGATAATAGTACTTTCTTTATAGCACTTGTTATTTAAGTAGATTTTCATGTTATTGGCTGTGTCCTTTAAGTTTTAGTGTAGTTGTTGATAATTTAGTGTCTAGGAAATGATACAATCAGTTTTGCATTTTTATGATTATCAATTTTTTCTGAAGAAATGTCTCATTGTAGATCTCATGTTGAAATTTACCCTGAGAATTTTTGTTTGTAAATTAAAATAGAAAGTAGTATTTCTCCAAAATTTTAGTTGCTCTTATGGGATACTTACTTTTATCTAGGGTTTTTTTTATTTACTTCAAAAAATGTTACTTTAATGAGTGATTTGTTCAAAATATTCTTCAGATCAGTTCAAGAAAATAGATCTTATTTACGAGAAATATTAACTTTTCACTATCTATAATCAGACAACTCTGTAGAAATACTCCTCACTAAATGTAACACTTTATATTCTTTGAAATTTGGGTATTTGATGTGCTTAATGATAACACAATTTTTATTTTTAAGGATCAAACCCTCCTCAAAGTCATGAAGATAGTGCCACTCGAGGGATTGATGCAGTGAGTATGAATACTTGTCAAGGTAGTCTTGCTGCTCATCCTCCTGTGTTGGATTCCTACACACACTCACCAATATATCCATACTATGTTGTTGAAATGGATTCTGTTCCATTCTACAATCCATATTCTTTTGTAATGCAGCCTTCATCTGAAATGGATGTAATATCAACATCTCAGATCCATGCTGTACAATCCCCAGGTATGCCATCAATGCCACCTGTTTTGTATCATTCACAACCTGTGCCTCATGGTGTCTCTGCCCCTCATTGGATTAGTTCTGATGGTGTACCACAGTACACTGTTGCTATGTAAACAGAGAGAGATTGAGTAAATTGACCTAGCTGACTCATAATAGGTACGATTTTGATTACTGATTATTAATACTGCCTCTTTTGAAATTATGAACTATATTAACTTGTTATTACATAAATCACAAATATTTATCTTCTGCCCATTTATAACAATTTATAAAATGCCAGTATATTCAATGTTGTTATATAGTCTTTCCTTAATTTAATTAAATTACAAATAGTGTAATGAAATCATTTCAAAAAAGTTGTCTTTGAATATAAAAAATTAAGAAAAAACGATAAATTCATGTTGATGAACTTTTCATTAGCCCAGAAAACATTTCTCTTTTTATCATTGTATTATCTTCAGCTGAAGAAAAGCATTTCAAAAATGTTGCTATTTACTTTGTGAACTGTAATCACATTATGTGATTTGAAAGTTATTAATATTCATTATAATTCTATGTTAAATGAGAGTTAATTTAAAAATGTTTTTTGTTGTATTATTCACCTAGGTGAGTGAGTATTTTGTTTTCAAGGAAGAAATAAATTATTTTTGTTACATGCATATCTGGATATTGAATGTTCATAAAATAAGCTTGTTTTTATAAAAATTGATATTAAATATAAGCTTATATGAAAATTCAAGCACTTGTAGTTTTTGAGTTGTATTTTTTTCTTTTTATTAACTTTCTGAATCTTATATGAAGTTTTCAGTAGTTACTGTTTTCCTTAACCCAACCTATGAATGATATTATACTTCCTTAATTTCTGCAGCTTAACATAATTCTTGAATATCATGAATAGAAATGTATCAGGAAGAACATTTTTCTCTTTCTTTTTGTTCTTTTCAAGGAAAAAAAAGAACTTTCCTTTATTTATAAAATCAGTTTCGAAAATAATTTTGAGATTTTTATGTTCAATTAAAATTAGTGCAACAATTATTTTTGGAATTATATTATGGTTATGTAGCTAAGTAGAGTACTTATATTTAAAACTTGAATACTAATTAATTCTCTTTAAAAATGTTAAAGATATTGTTGAGGAACATTCTTATTGCCATTCTAAATAACATGTAGGTTCTTGAATACTTGTAAACTTCATTTGATAATTGTTATATGTGAAGGGAAAAATTGCAAATAAAACAATCAATTGGTTTCTAAATTTCACTACTGGAAGAGGGTTATGTATCTCTCATTGTGTTTAAAGGTGCATCAGAGCAGGGGTGAGTTTTCAGTGTAGTTGAGGCAGAATGAAGTGAGGTTTCCGCTATAATCTGCCAAACGCAGCTAACTTTCTTAATGCATTACATTATGATATTTACAAAAATAGTGAATGTGGTGTCACTGCTTGAAGCCGCTTCATCCTAGGCCTCGGAGTGCCCGTTCATTCGCAGTTGACTCCCTGCCGATGACACCATCATTGGCTCCAGCAGCTTCATATAAAAAGATGCTGATGGAGGCTGGAGCAGTCCTGGCCTCTATCCACAGTGCACCCCTTTAAGCAGCTCATCAGCTAAGCCTTGTACTTACTGACAGTAGTAAGTACTTATTGAAATGAAGAGAGTGAGTTCTGCTGAAATATTTAAAGGCAAGTGGATGCATTAGGGTATGCATGGGCTTTCCGACAAGTATGTTGGAGGGAGATATGAAAGGAAGTGTGTACCTCTGCAGAATTTTAGTTAAAGTCCTGTATTGGTAATTTGTAATTACTTCAAAAATACGATCTTGAATTTTCAGTCATGAAGTCTGAGTTTAAGAATCTTTTAAGTTTTAAATTCAGACATGCATCAGGAGGAAGATCTTATTTTTTTATTAGCAAACTGCACACCCCATTAAGGGCAAGGGCCTCCTGCTCGTGCAGGGAATTATTAATCTTTCTTGAATGAAGTGATAGGATGATGATGAAGGTTGAAGGGACAAACACAAATACATCCATGTCCGAGGCGGGATTCAAACCTGCGATCTGAGATTGCCATGACACTACTGCCTTAGCGATCTTGGCTATTCGAATTGCCAAGGTCTATTAGTGTTTAAAAATTGGTTGATTTGTGCCGGTGCTGGTAAGGAGATACATGTAATTGTGTACACCAAATCGGGAAGGATGGATGTGCCTTGCATAAATGGTGACGTTTGAAGTTTTTGAGCTGAAACTTAGTATACATGTCTGAGTAAGATTTTGTTGTGCCACTCCAGGGATTATTAAGTAAGTCATTTTCATTTTGCGAGTTACTCTACATGAAGCTCCTGCAACATTTTCATAATGTTTTTAAAAAAGGCTTTCTCCATTGGAGAAAGTGCATTTATAAATATGGTAAGATAACAATTTTATTAAAACCTGTGAAAAATTACAAATTGCAGAAGTTGAAATGTGCCTAAGTAACTTAAACAACAGACCATGGATCTAAAGATTCCTCCCCCTCTATCCTGCCCTCACTCCCTTTCCTACAAGTAATTTAAATTAACACAAGTTGTGAGTTCTCCAAGAATATGTCTCACGGAGGGATTTAACCAGAAAGTGAAAAATAAAAGATTTTAAAACTTCTGTGTCGGGTAAGCTACAAAAATTGGAATTAGGGAATATGCATTCAGTTGATCCCTATATAACTCATCTGACATACTTGTTACGAACAATTGAGTGGCTTTTTTGGTTGTCTGATAGGGTTGAACTTGATATTTGGGTGGCACCTTTCCACCTCATTGTTCTGAGAATGGCACAGGGACCTAGGGCTTCCATGTTTATTACATGTATTATAACTATTACATTATATTTTTTTCTTTTCACCAAATACGTTGTAATACAATCATTTTAACTGATGTTCTATTTAAATAAATAAAAACTGTTCCAGTTGCTCTGTGAAGATAAGTTAGTAAAGAAAATGAGTAACATTATAATTTTTGTTTGTTTGTTAATATTAGACAGTAACTTTTGAATCAAAATTTTATTCATCTTGAAAATGATTTACTGCACAAACTTACTAGAGAATCAAATAAAACATATTACAAAAATCTTATATACTATAACATTGTACTTGTAACAGAATAAGGAGTATTTTTACTTTTTAAAAAACTAAGAGGTTTAACAAAGTGATAATTTGAAAAGCTATTTTTAATGTGGTTCTTGATTTCTTTCTTTTTCACTTGTGACTAGGCAACTTTATGAACTTGATTTCTTCATTGCACTTTTCACTCTAATTTTTGTAGGAGCCTGTAAACAGAAAGCTCATACATTAAATTTAAGATTGAGCTGGGGTGGCCTGCAAATTTTGCAACTTGGTTATATAAGGTATAAGCACAACTATTGTAAGTAAACATTTTTTATAAATCTTACTATTCAGAATTAAGCTAGTGTTTTTCTTTAACATGTCTATGAAATCAAAGTTACAAACACATAATTATTCTTAATAAACAATATAAAATGTATGTAGTAGTCTTAAAAAATCTACATTTTCAACCTTCAGAGCTCAAACTAGTGAGAAATTGTCATAACAATGTGAGTCAATGGCAAAAAGCATTTTGTGTGAATGATTAGCAGAAGTGAGTTTAACATTACTGTGCATTTAGTTTCCTTTATATACTTTGATTTTATCTATAATCTATAAACAAACTTTTAAATTTATTTGGTTTAGCAAGATGCTTTCTGCATGTACTGTTGCTTTAGCTTTATTTGTTTTAGAACTATTACTTGTGTTTTGTATGTAAGTAATGCACTACAAGCATTTATGCTATTGGCTCCATGTACAATCTGTTGTTATTTGTTGAAGTGCAAAGATCTGCATCACCTTTGTTGGTAGAATCTGCTAATTTAATTATTGTGGCAAAAATTGTCTACTATCTTTTATTGCTCACAAATGATAACAATTGTAATGTGTGAATATTGTGCACACAGACATGAAGTTCAAAAGCAAGAACAAATGTACTTGGAGACAAATGGCATTGGTAACATCATTTTCACTTCAGAATCTTAAGTCAGTTTGTGAAAATTTCAAGTGAAGTCCATGACACAAATACTTACACACTTATTATAAACATTTCTGATGTTTGAGAACTGTGAGTAAAATAAATGTTTACTCTCTCTTTCATTGTTGAGTGTTAAGGATAGTTAATGTACGTCAAGGGTATGGGCATGAGGAAATGGAAAGATCATTAATCTACTTATATGCAGAGTTCTTGGTTATAAAAAGTTTAAAAACACTTTTTGGTACCACACATGCACTTCATCCACAGTAAAACTACATGACATTTCAAAATTGTCTCTGAATTCATTAGATGATGTGACGCTGTTCACGTTTTCAGTGGTATTTTGCTACATAGCATATTTCAACAAACATTCGGAAACAGCCACATTTACGACTGCAAAAAACAATGTCATTACACCTCTTGATCTGTGCACTGCTACTTTATATGGGATGCACCATGCTGCAGTGCAAACTAACGACCTATGGCTTCTGATGGTGGTGGACTGCGATACTTTGCTTGAATGTGCAGATAAGACCTATTTATTGGTGAGTCACGACTTACAACCTTGATTTGACAGGGATCATGGCGCATTAGGAAATGCTCAAGAGTATCCCATCCTCCTCCAACACGTACCATCATGTGACGTCCTTTCAGAAGCTGCAATAGAACATGTTTCATTAGCAAAGAATAATTTATAAAGTTGTTTATAATTCACAAATGTTTAAAGAATTCACTTACTCGGATGAAAACATTTCTCCCAGCTATATTATATCTGCCTTCTCCAACTTTCTTCACTTTTAGACGAGAACATTTTGTGGATGGACAGTGACACTGCCTCTGGGCCACCCTGGTCGCTTGTTGTACCTGCGGGCATTTAAGGCATTTTTTTAGAGGGAAATATTTGTATCTTGTTGGGAACATTTCCTTATTCTCAGCATACCCCATTTTTCTTTCTTTTGTTTCTTATTTTCTAATGTTTCCTGAAAGAAGTTAATTTTACAACTGACTGTGTTTCATGGTGTATTTGTGTTTTTTCTGTAACTTCTTTGGTAATCATTTCAGAAAACTATATTTCTCAAAGGTGTTAGGGGTACTACATGTAAGGGGCAGATCCAGGAAGTATTTTAGCAGGTAATTTCTTTACAGACCGCAAACTGTAAATTTGGTTCCAGCCTTTTTTTAATATGTGAATTTCTTTATAAATTTGCTGTTTGCTCAGGCCTAATGAGGGAACATCTTTGTAATGTTTTGCAGTCAAATTATAGTAATTATTTTAATAAATTGAGTAACTTTAAAAAAAAGAAAGTTTTTTGAGGGGGTTCATGGGGTAATGGCTTTGCCACTATAAACAGTCAACAGTACTGCTAACAATTGATAAAAATAAATATGATTTAAATATTTTTATTTTAAAATATGATTAGAATGAAACTTTATTCACCTGGTTGTTTTGCCACAGTATAACTTTGTTGCTGCTGGAGGTACAGTTGCACTTCAATAAAGTAACAACCCAAAGGAAACAAAGTGTAACTTAAACTTAAATTAGTAAACTTCATTTTCGATCTTGACCTTTCACTGAAGCCAGAATAGCTGATTACAAGGTGGGGCCAGACCATGATGATGGATAATGAGTGCTATCGATAGTTTGTAAATGTAGGAGGCAGTAAAATTATTGACAGTCATAGCTACTAGCTACTGTGGCATAAGTCTGTTTGAATCTAAACAAAAAAAGGTTTAAAAGTAAGGTTTTGTGTATGACATGGTATTTTACTGAACTTTATTAACGTGGGTGCATTATGACCCTCCCACTTATTAATCTATTTTCTTCCCAAATTGCCTCTACTAAAACCCCTTGCTACATAAATAACTTAAGTATTCTTGTCCTAATATTTATGTCATAATTAGATACTTCATAATATTGGGGATGTACCAATGACATTGCTACATGTTCAAGAACACTTGGAAATATCTATTTAAATTGTATTTTTTTAATAAAAGTTGGATCCCAGGCATAATGCTGTACTCCTGCGACACTGCCAATCTTCATGTGTTACTTACTTAGTTACAATTGTGTTTATACACAGCTGACATTAAAGATGGTGCTGAACTGGGCAAAGTTGAATAAATTTTCTATTTTGTTGTGCAATCAAAAAACACAGTAATTTATTAGTGATTCCTGATTTGTTTCTGCACTGAGATGGTTTAAATTCCTTAAGGTTTGTCAATCCCTGCATTTACAAATGTCTTACTTTTCTGTCCAATTCAGTGATGTCTGGAACACTGTGGCTGATGGAAGTGTCATGTTCCAACTCCAAGTCCGGATCTTCCCCACTGCCACGAGACCAATCATCTTCTGTTGTATCACTCGGTACTCCGTCACTAGCACCTCCACTCGTAGCACCGCCAGGACCCGTGTTTCCCTCGCTCACAGCTCTTCGGAGGTCCCTTGCAGGTGAGAGGCCGTCTGTAGCTGTGGGGCTCCCACTTGATTCTAGCAGCATCAAACTTCGGCGCTCACTGCTGCGGTTCCTGCCGAAAGATGATCGGCCCCATCTAGTCATGCTACCGCCTGAGATAGCTGATGAGGAACTGTGCAGGGAAGAAGAAACTTAAGTGTAAAGTTTGCAAAATGTGATGGGTGTGTTTTATTTTTTAATGAATAAGCATTTGATTAATGAATTTTAAATAAACAAGACTGAAGTGAATGGAATAATGTAGTACTAATAATATATTTTGTGTTTAGGGCTTGTATTTTTAATTTTCTCCACAAACTGTGGTTTAAGTTTTCCAAAAATGTAAGAATAGAGAATAAATAGTTGGTTCATGAAAAGATGTGAGAAATTTCAAAATAAAAAAAATTTAAAAATTTGGAAGCAGTTGTTTGAATATCATCTTGTTTTTTTAAATTTATATTAAGTACAATAAAACCAGTCTATATTGGAAACACTCTAAAGAACAAACTTTATGCACAAAACCTTCCAGAACAAATTGAAATCTTTTTTTGAAGCTGTCTCGTTATGCTGGAAAACTGCCTAATGCAGAAACCAGTTTCTAGAAAATTAAGTGAAACCTAGGTAAGAAGGCATTACTCAAATACAATTTATGCCATAATCTTTGGGAAGTCTTTGCTGTCAAAGTCTTCCCAAATGTCCTCAAACACAGTACTGAACATTCCTTCTTGTTTGCTTACAGCAACTAATGCTTCTCTAAAGTATGTTATCCAAACATTTAGTTCAAGCTTAAGCTTTTACTGTAGATACTTTTTGGCAACTCATATAAGACTGTCCAAATTGAAATTTTTTGTTAGTAGTGATCATGGATTGTATTTTCTCAAGTACATGAGATTTGAGCCTAAAAAATAATGAACTCCATAGCAATAAATACCTGCTATGACGCATCTTCTCTGAAGGAGTACGGTGGAACTGCCATGAAAGTAATGTATGTTTGCTGTCTTGTTCCTCTTCTTCATCAATTTCCTTTTCAAGTTGTACCAGTCCTGGTGGTTCTAGACCGAAGCGTTGAGCCAGACGAGCAACTTCCAGCAAGCACAAAATGACTGATCGTGGGTTATGATGCAGCACTAAATCATCACTCTCGAACAAAAGATTGGGATGTATGCCAAGTCGCCGACAGAAAGTGATGAAGTTCTCCATGTTGTCTCGGGAAAAGAAACTGCGCCGAGCTGCCCTCTCCCAGCACCGCCCTTGGATATTAGGTACTGGCTGCATTAACAATAAGAATACATAAAATGAAGCAATTAAAATGAAAAATAATGTTCAAAATAAATATTTTAGTGCTTCTTAGTGAATGTAGTGACATAACCAGAGCTACTTATGTCCCCACTAAAACATAAGAATGTATATTGTCGTATAAACAATAAAAATTTATATTAAAAACAAAATTATATTTGTTAAAATAATTTCCTGCAGTTAAAAACTGTGGGGAAAGTCAAGGGCTGGTGAAATTTAATAGTAATAAAATCTATAATTAAAATTTATGTAAAATATGGACATTTTCCCACAATAATAATGTAAGATTATTAGAAAAAATATTAATTAAATTATAAAATTATGGGTAAAATTAACCTATGAATTTAGTCAAAACATATGACTTATGAATTTAAATAAAATGTTTCAGTTGTAACCCCTAAAATGGTGTCACTTACGGCAAACCCCCTTTTTAGCCTCAGGGATTCCACCCCAATTACTAGTTCAGATTGTTTATTATTTTTGCCACATTTATAACACAAATTTGAAAAATGATGTAGATATTATTAATAAGCATGCAAACTTTCAAAATGTCAAGAGTATGAATGAAATTTAAAATTGGAATACTAATATTATAAAGCAGGAGATATCATGCGAGTCTGTGATTGGAGCTTCTACAACGTATTTTTACCATATGAAACCAACAGTTCCATTTCTTTTTGTGAATTGTATGCACGTGGACTATGGAGTTTCCTGTTGATTCTTTTGTATGAAGGAACTCTTGAAATAAAAATAATTCTTTGATTTTCATCTCATTAACTGTGAATTTTCACACTTTTCTATAGTTTCAAGAGAGTTTTTTTGAAATTTGTTGTTGTTTTTGACAATCTAGTTGGTTTTTTCTCTTCACATTATCATTTTTTATTTGATTCAATTCAAAAAGTTTGTTTTATTTATTACATTTGCATGATAATTTATCCATTAATTGGTTAACCAATAAACAAAAATGATTTATTTGGTTTTCATTACTACATAATTTTCAATTTGATAATATATGAACATCCCCATTACCCACATTTTTGTGCATGCTTATGACTTGCTTGCAATACATTTCGTTTGCTTTTTATTTCAGTGATACTCACCCCTGAGTAGCAACCAGTTTCGAACAACTCCTGTGCACGGGCCTGGACAACCCGGGCCAGTTGACAAACAATAACACCGTTGTCCAGAGCATCAAGAAAGTTGTCACCCGTAACATGGTCAATTTCTGTAATTGGTAATATTATTCATGATTTAGAAATAAGCTTCGTAATCATCTCTTTGTAGCACATTTTTATTTGAACATTACATGTAAGATAAATATTTTGTGTAGAGGTTTTGTGTAAAGAACATTTGATGAAAGTGCTATAACATCTTTGTTCTTTCTGAATGTATTCTGATTATGTTCCCTCTGGTATGAGTGCTTCTGTCACCCTTAATTGTCTTGTGAAGAGTTTTGACAGTAAAAATGCTCTGAATGACGTGTATTTGGCAATAGTTTTTTTCGTTAATGCATAAGACTGATGGTTCTAGAGATGGAGGAGTCTGGGATGTTGTGATCGATATGCACAGACATAATTGGAAGAGAAATTCTTTCTTGTCTCCACATAAGCCCCAATGTAATGAACATATTTCAAACCTTATTGCTAGCTTTACAGAAAAATAGAAACAAATGTTTTTTCATGTTTCAACTATTGAAAATATATGTAATATCAAGGAGGTGGATGTTTCTTCCCTGCTGAAATGTGAGATTGGTGACCGATCTAGATATCAGCCTGTGGGTTTATTCCTCCTCCAAGTATCACTCCCCCCTCCCCCATATTTTTGAAAAATATGAGTGTATATTTAAAAAAAAAAGTTCCTCTTCAAACTTTAGACACTCAGATTTATTTACACATAATCCATGGTCTTTTTATTAAATTACATTATGTGTTGGCGTGACATTTCAGCTACTACCTTGTAGCCATCTTCAGACATCTGGTTTAAATAAGAAAATAATATGCACATTTTTCTAAATTGGATTATACGGCAGCCAAAACATAACCTCCACTTCACAACAGTGGATAACAGAGAATTAACACTAGAATTGGCCAGAGGCGTCATCTTTAAGCCCTTGTAAATTATTTGTTTTTGAATATGAGATTTTGTAATCTTGTGACTTTTGATCATTTTCATTCATTTCATTATTTTATGGTAAAAACTGAAATGTTTAAAAGTTCTCTAACGCAAATTAAGTTCCCACCAGTCTCAAGCAAACATATGTAAAATTTTCAAAAAAATCTGACATATTACGATATAGTATGGGAAATGCATTGCAAGGAAATATTATTTTAGGTCACATATGAAACTAGTATTATTTAAATTAAATGTTTATAACAATTTACTATTATTATTATTATTATTATTATTACAACAATATTGTTACTATATTAAAATTTCAACATTTCACATTTTGCCCGTTTCCTTGCAGATTTAGTTCGACATGTTTCTTTAACGTCGATTTGGCAGGACAGGAAAGATAATAATTGTTTGAAATATATTTAAGTTGAGGCCTAATACCAATACTACACACTGAATTATTGTTTTTAATAATGTTATAGTGACGTAGATAAATATTTTTCCAATATTTCCTTTAAAGAAGTGATGTTGAAGGCTCGGAGTCAAAACGACTCTGCTGAGCGTTCTAGTGTTAAAAAGTTAATATTTTGTGGTTACAATAAATTCCAATCTCTTGTTTGTTTTGCACAAGCGCAACGTGCGATTGCCAGAGCGAGCGCAAGGCGCGATTTCTGCACAAACACGCGACAGTGATTGAGGCCCTTTCTAATCCTACTCGCTCAAACTGCGAAACCGAAGTGCACGTCGAGAAAACTGCCAAAATGGACCACCAGATGTCGCTCCAGTTGCCACCAGTACACATTTAATTGCGATTCGGTCGGTTTTTAATTTTTTTATTGCGCGTGGAATCATTCTTCTCGATACTTTTTTAGCAGCGTAACTTTAAACTATAAATAATTATATTAAAAATCTTCTATGAACTCAGCACCATCCGAACTGGGGTATCCGCACATCTCTGCGCTCCACCCCCATTGCCACTAACGACGTGGGAATCTTTTCCAGTCCTCCGCCAGGGCCTTTGCCTGAGAGAGCAAGATCTCAACCCCGCTCGAGAAGTTGAGGTAATTTCTTGGCAGTGGTTTCTCCTACTCTACTGCCCGGGGTACCAAGGAGCTGAAGGCCTTGGAGTTGGTCACCTTGGCTATTTCACCCCTTCTCGAGTGCAAGGACTCTGGAAGACGGACGTTATAACGCGGCCGGTGTGGTCTCCCAACTCCTCCACCGGAAAGCCTTTGAAAACATGGGTAGTATACCGCCTCAGCTCGGGGTTACCATTTCTCAGGAGACACATCTGGATCGAGGTGAGTTACTTCTGACCCCCCCCCCCCCGTGAGCCCAGGATAACACGCAACGTCGAAACCGGAACCCACACAAGAAACCGCCCGGGGCCCGGCCTCCATCGCATTCCCTGGCGCTAACGACGCGGGTTGTCATCGAGAAACTCAGGCAGCTGGACAGACGTTTCCATTCGAAGGAGGCCTCCGAGTGGGGGGTGGGGGATAACGACCGTTGGGGCTGGCACGGCTACCGGGCGCGGGGCGTGGGAGTCGGTTCATCTGCGCAGCCTGGGAAATCACCCGCCGCGCAGAACGACCGCTCCTCGTTCCAGAGAATAAAATAGACGCGGCCTGTAGAATTCACAGTCGGAGTTTATGGGCTGATCAGGTATTTACGGACGCATCCCACTACTTTTAACATGGGACAATTTTCCCACACGCACACGAGATGGTAAGGAAGCGAATGGTCTGAACTCTTCTCTGAATTACTACATTAATGAACTTCCTTCGACAACCTTCCGCAGATTTACTTTCTCGTACACTACGTACGTACATACGGAGTAATATACGTATAGTACAGAGAAAGTTATGTAATGCTTCGGAAAATCGATTTCGACATTTCAACGGATACTCGTATTAGCGTTTGGAGTGTTTTTTAAACGTTAGTCCGTCCGTTCAATTATATTCACTTCGTTCGTTAACTATTAAAAGGAGTTTTTCCAAAATGAATATTCCCTAGTCGACTTGGCTTAACTCGAAATCTTGAAAAACTTTCTTTTAATTCTGGGGGTACTTTATATGAAGCACCTTTTCAAAATTGTCTCAAAAATGGCACCAAATGTTTTCATTGAAAATGCTTGTAAGAATAGAGTGAAAGGTTCTTATGAGATGGCATAAGTCCAATTTTCACGGTTAACTCTGAATTTTCGAAAATTACAAATGTTTGAATATCTTTGGTGTCTTCCTACAATTTCAATATTGAAGATTGCTATATTTTAAATTTCAGTAGTTTTCGCGCATTTTTGAGTGAAACATCGCAAATATTAAAAAATATTAAAAACAAGATTTTCTCAAAAACCGCTTTCTTTAAACTTTTTCTTCCGATCGTACTAAATGCACTGAATAATATAATGTAAATGTAATTTTGATGCTTTTGTTTGAATTAAAAAAATAGAGCATTGTAATTTTTGCGCCTGTATTTATACTTAATTGCATTTGTGAGTACAAGGGCTTTAAATGATTTTTTATGTCGCCTTTCGAAAATTTAAAAATTTTCTGTGAAAATGTGCTCAAAATTGCGTATTTTCAAAAATGTTCGAACGCCATTTTCTAGAAAACTGCTCCAATTTATAATGGTAAGGGCACTGAATAGATCAGTAAGTGGCAGGCACATTGATGTATAATTTTGTTTTTGTATAGTTTGTATAATAGAATAGGATCTGGGCAGGTTTTCGTGAGGTAGGTTTTTTAATGCATGAGAAATTGAAGATATAGTTGTCTGTCGTTGACTACTATTGCTCGTGCAGTAGCTCGCGCAGTGCGTGTAGTCAGCCACTGGATCTTTCTTTCGTTTTTCCAGAC